GCATAGGGAGGTGTCATTTTGCATGATATTCATATTAGTGGCTTGCATGGCAACCTGCCTATTTTCATTCAGAATTTCTTGAAGGTAAAGAATTTTCAAGTAAGGGTTGACTCTGTTTTATCAGATATCTTTGTACAAGAAGAGGATGTGCATCAAGAGTGATTTTGTATAAGATCAGACTACTTCACTTTATTATATTGAAACAGACAGTAATTAATACCAGGTTATGCATGAATATAAACAAAATTTAGTTACTGTGTAAAAACACATTTTTGGACTCCTAATGTTTTTATTTGAGATGAATTTTAACTGTTAGGTAAATTAAAAGATTCAGATTTAGCTACAAAAATTCAAAAAACAAATGTGGGGAAAACAATACGGCAGTTTTCAGAAAGATCTCTTGAATATTAATTCTCAAGTATTCATAGTCTCATATGCATCAGCATAGATAAAATCTGATGAGTGATAACACTTCTGAAGTTACCAAAACAAAGAGTGTTTTTTTTAGCTCTTTGTAACAAGTCTTACAAAGTGCTAAAAAAAGCACTTATAAAAACACTTGTAATTTCTTTAATGTTTTGATTATAAGATTCCTCTTTGCCAGATATCTAATGGAATGTTAGAATTGACTCTTTTTGTTTACTCTGTCATATTAAAATTTTAGGTTTTTTAAAGAAATTTATAATGTTTAAATCAATGAAGTATAAAATCAGTATAAAATATGAAGCAAAAGCATTTATTTGGGGTTTAAAGATTAGGAGATTATGTTGACTAATAATCTAAAACGAAATTTTGCAAAGAAATGAAATTAATTTTTGTTGCTATTGATTCTTTGTTTATTTTGTTCATTTTATTATCTTCATCATTGAGTGAAAATATTCAGTGACTGAAAACTGAAAAGGAAATTATTAAAAATGTCTTGGATAAGATATTCGCATGTTCATTAGAAAAACAGAATCTTTTATTTTTAGAATGTGTGTTGCAAACATAAAATAATAATTGTCTAGTTCATTACCCTTATGTTGGTAACTTGATAAGCTAATACATACTATGAGAAGTAAATTTTTCTGATGGTAGAGTGTCTAGTTATGTGCTGCTGAATGAACCTTATATCATTTTCTTGGCACTTTCAGTTTCAGTAGCCAATGGCAAATGATGATTTAGACAAACTGCTAAAAAAAAACTAAAACACATATTACATAGATCAACAGATATACAGAGGGTGGGCACACATTTTTGTAACGATTTTGCAAAGATTTATATGTAACCAAACTTGAGTTTTAATATGTTCAATCTTATAGCCCTTTTGTTGAAGTATCATATTACATCTTGATTTCCAAGATAAAAGTCCTTTTCTTAAAACATCAAGGTTGATTTTATTCCATTTCTCCTTCACAATCTTCCATAGTCCATCCAATGTTTTGGGATGTCGCATATAAAGAGCTTGTTTTAAAAGTCTAAATGCACAGTAACCCACCGAGTTAATTTTGACATTTTTTTAATTTTCCATTATAAAAGAATCCAGTAATAACTGTAAATCCTTTAGAAAAACTTTTCTTGTATTATCTGAACCAATATATAAAGTCATTTTCTCCTCTTTTTCAGTAGTAAATCAATCTTTTTCTATTGCAATCAGATAAGTATGTCATTAACTGTAACTGTATAGTTTCATTTTTTGCCTGCCAAATATTTTTCATACAGCAATTTGCATATAGTCTTACGCTGAGAAACATGTTTCGACATTAGGCGATGAATATCATGTTTTTTTGTTTTTGATTAGCCATAAGTCAGATTTTATAATTTTGTTCACAGTTCCTACAGAGATATTTAAAGATTTGGTCTTTGGGGGGCTGGATTTTCCTTTAAAACATGAGATGCAACTTTAGATTTAATAAGAACTGTACGTACCTTTTTTGGGTATGCATTTTTTGCCTTTTTCGTAGTCAGACGTAAACTTTAATGTTTCTTTCCTTTCATATTAATTATGTCATTTATTTTATGTATAGAAATAGTAAAACAATTCTTTTCACATCTTTTTATAATAATTGAGTAAGCGTATTTCTCTTCAGACAGGAAAAAAATATAGCCTTCAATCCATTTTTTATTTTTCAGTGACATTTTGAAAAAAAGAATGTTTTTAATGTTGCAGATGATAGTTAAACTTCATTCCAATTTGATGACAATCATGTTTGTATATTAAAATTAATATTTAAATTCATGGAGAAAATCAAAATCGGTACAAAAATGTGTAAACACTCTCTGGCGATCAACCAAAGTGATTCAAGATAAAATCGTACATATCTTTCAAGTGTAAGTATAAAGTAAGATGTAAATTATATTTATAATTTTTTTCATGCTTCATTTAGTTGATGCTTTACCTTTTGGTGGAGTTGGAAAAAGTGGTATGGGGGCATATCATGGAAAATACTCATTCGATACCTTCTCACACAAAAAGGCCGTTCTCATTAGGAATTATGCAATGCTTGGGGAGAAACTTGGAGCGTAAGTGCTTTTTAAATTTAAGTGCTATTTCTGTAGTGAATACCAAATGTTTTGAGGAATGTGTTTTTATTTTTGTTTGTGCTGTAAAATGTGTAAGCACAATAATGGTCCAGTAATTGAGTATTCAGTATTTTGGACCATGCTATATTCCATCAAATTTATATTATAACATTTATAATGGAAATTTTTTAAATAAATTCTTGGATCTGATTTATGTTTTGTTTAATTCAAAAGTGCATAATTACTCTTGATCTACAAATATTGTAACAATATGATATTTATAGATCCAACTCCCTTTTCTGTTTCTTTCTTCAGTCTGTCATTTAATGACTTCTGATGCTACTATAATGTAAGGTTGAATGAATGGAAGTAATATAAATATTACTACATTCACCACTTAAGCTAAATATTGGGTATAATAATCTTCAGATATTAAGAAAAAAAATCTTTTATTAACTTTTAAATAATATATCTAAAGAATCTTTTTCAAGGTATTAACTTCATCTTATTTTAAGGAGTTAGGATTTATTGGGTCATCCAGAAAGTTCTGTGGTTTTTCAGACTCCAACTTCTTCGTCTTCTTCTTCTTTTTTATTATTATTATTATTATGCTATTGCTCATAAGGAATGATCTTGATCAAAGCATTCTATGGTCTTTTCTGCTTACATTCCATAGTTATAGCATGTGTTGTTGTAATTGTTTTTCTCGGTGCAGTGCTAAAAATAAAGGACTCAAAAGTTCATTTTCATCATATGCTGTTTTATTTTAAAAAGAAAAAAATGCCAGTTAGACTTCTGATGACACAGTTCAAGGTTGTTTTGAGAAGTTAAAGTGTGGAAATGTCAGGTTTCTTAGATGCTGCCCACTCTGGACAACCACCATCCATAAACAAAAACCTACTAAAGAAAGATGACATTGAAAATCCAGGTTATATAGTTCAAGAACTGTCAGAGAGATTAAATATTCCAAAATGTATGGTATATGATCAATTGAAGCAACTTGGATATGTAAGCCACTATGATATAAGGGTATCCCATATTTTAACCAAGCAGAATATGCTTGTTTGAGTTTTAGCACGTGATTCTTCATTGAGAAGATATAAAGAAGTTCTTTGGAGAGGAGAAGTAGATATCATACAATATTGTTGCAAGAAAAAGATCATGGGTCAAGCCAAACGAACTTGTTTTAGTGACATCGAAAAGGAGGCTGCATCCTCAAAAATAATACTTTTTGTATGGTGGTATTACAAAAGAATTAGATACTAGAAATTGTTGGCATCAAATCGGACAATGATTCTGAGAAAATATTGTTCCCAAATGGTAGTTTAAAAAAGAGAAACTGGAGCAGGGTATCCAGAACTGACCAATTATCGTTTGAACTGACGAAAGCGTTTTCTTTCATCATGACAATGTTTGGCTCAAAATTTCAATCAATGTCAGGCAAAGGCAGTGATGAATATGGTTGGTATATTTTATGTCACCTCCTATATTCACCAGACCTTGCCCCCTCACATTTTGTTCCCTTCAAGTCACTTCAAAATTATCTGGAATTCACTTGTTTGGAGACTATTTAACATCATCTTGATAACTGTTTCAGAAACCTGTAGAGCTTTCCAGGTGATCCAGTAGTTTCAGTAAAATCACATCCAACACAAATCGATGTTTTGCCATTCAGTGATGAATAAAATAATTAATTTACCTCTAATGTAATAGATTATAATATTGCATTAATCATTTAAAAAGTAATATTTTTTGGACTTCTTAATAACATTTTGTAACAACTGTGCTTTTATACTACAAGTATAAATAAAATACACTAGTAACCATTAATGACTGGATGTGCCCTGAAAGGAAAAAGTGATATCCTGGATATCACTAATCCTTGCTGTGAACGCATAAAAAAGACTGTTATGTTTGGTAGAAATGTACGAAAGCTACAAATGTGGAAATAGGCATACAATGAGAGCTGAATGAGACTAATAAGAGAAATGATCCTTGCTGTTCAGCAGTTCAATCAGTCCATCAATAAGGTTTCTGACAAGTTCCAAGTATCACATACAACATGGTAAATATATATGTGGCACCATACGAACTATGGTTTTAACATGTCAACCTAGAATATTTTATTTTTAATTTCATTTTAACTGTGTGTGCCTTTAATTCTTCAGCATTGTTGAAAATAACTGTTGATGTATACTAAAACATAGTGGAACATCTTCCTTGAAGGATTGAGGCTGTTATAGTGTCAGATAGCAAAATTATGTCATAATGAAATTATACCAGTTCCACTTAAATAAGTTCTTGCGGTATATCTAGTGATCATTGGCAACATAGTATAGGTGTCAATGTTTCCTACATAGTATAGATGTCAATGTCCAGACACTACAATAAGTTTCTTACAGAATTTTTCCTATACTATGAGTGTATGATGTTGTCCTATAACAGATATAACTATTTAATTGAGAGGAATTTATTGATGAGAATTCCACAGAATGTAAAAGGAAGTTCAAAATTGTATTTGCATACTTTATAAGTGTTCTCTGTAATGCCATTAGTAACGTAGACAACATCTGAGCAAGTAGTCCATTTCACACTATAAATTCTGAACCAACACAAGTACATTAGAAATTAGCATTTCGAGTTCTGGAATGCTTTTTACCAAAGGAAGCGCATACACAACGATAATTTCTTTCTGTGGGGTTATGTGAAAAACCTTGTGTATGTGCTTCATTTGCTGAAAACCATTCCAGGGCTCAAAATGCCCATTTTAAATGTGCTTGTGTTGGTGACTTCAGATATGTTTCGGAATGGCATGAAATGAACTGCTGCTCAGATGTTGTCCGTGTTACCAAAGAAAGTCACACTGAACATTTATAAAATTATGTAAACAAAATTTTGAGCTTCCTTTTACATTCTCTGTTCTCATCAATAAATTCTCAGTGAAATAGCTGAGTCATAAGTAATTGCTATATTAATTTTGAATCACTGTGTATATGAAAACCATTGATAATGATGAAGTCTGGTAGTAACAAAGGTGCTACTTTGGTAGACGGTTGCACGGATTTTTGGCGATTTACGTTGGCGCAATTGTTGGCGTGATTTCTACAAACGTCAGCCATCTTGAAAAACGCTGTTTTTACGCATAGTAAAGTATTCGAAACTTTAAAAAAAAAAAAGAAATATCGTTAGAAATAATGGATTAATTTTTTTGTTGAAAATGTCGTTTTTTAAGATGGGAGGCAAGTGTAAATAAATACATTTACTATGAGTATAAAATACTAAAGTAAGGTTATTATTACTTTCATATAGCAAAGAAGAGAATAAAAACACCGCTATAAAAACATTGTGCCAACGTTTAATTAGATTAAAATATTACTGAAATTGAATATCGAAATAAAAAACATCATCCAACATGTAAAAGAATTAGAATATTATTAAATTTAAATACTTTCTTTAAAATACGTTATATAGAATATAATATATATATATATATTATATAGAATAAATACATTTACTACGAGTATAAAATACTAAAGAAAGATTAATTATTACTTTCATATAGCATAGAATAGAATAAAAATACCGCTATAAAAACATTGCGCCAACGTTTAGTTGGATTAAAATATTATGCAAATTGAATATCGAATTAAAAACCATCATAATCGAATGTTTAAAAGAATTAAATATTACTTAAATGAAATACTTTAAAATAAGTAAATAAGAACGCTTCGTACACTAGAGCTAAAATGACAGCAATTAGTTTATTGTTGGTAAAAAAGGAGGAATGTCTAATACTTTTTTAACCGTTACAGCGGTTATTTCTACCACCGTGACCACAATACCATACACGTCCGTCCTGAGAATCGGCTCTCTTTAACGATCTTCACCTGTAATCCTACATCTCTCGCACTTCATTGAAGAAGCAATTAGAGAGGTTTCCTCCAAAAATTTAAAATAAATTTCCTCTGACCTTTGTAAGAATTTTATAAATAAATCTTTGATTAGGAAAGCCAGGGGCGAAAATAGGTCTCAAAGGACAATTTTTGATTCCGAAACCAAAAATTCTTGGTACTTATCAAAAACAACATTCTTTTGAAGGAGACATTTTTGAAGGAATTCGAAGATATGAATTAAATTTTAAAATGGTGCGGTAATGCACAAATTTTCAGCAACCTATTAGGGAGCTGATTACAGCTCATTAATGCACAAATATTCTAAAACCAATCAGAGAGCTGATTACATCATGCCTAGAATAAAATTATTTAAATAATCATACATAATAAAATCATTTTAAAAAGAAATGCAAAATTAAATTGTATTTTAATATTAACCAGCCATAATAAGGTTAAAAACATTAGATTAAATTTATAGATATTAAAACCAATTACTTTAAAGTAAGGTGACGTCACTGATTACATCATCCACAGCATAAAATTTCATAAATATGATAAAGAATAAAATGTTTATTTCAAATAAAAATGCGAAATAAATTGATTTTTAATATTTAGAAGCCATAAATAATATTTAAAACATGGAATTTATGCATAATAACATGCATTATTTTTTAAATAAAATGTCAACAAAGTATCGGTTACCATAAATAACTTATCCAGCAATGGGGTTTACCATAAGTCGTATTACTCGCCAAAAGAAAAATTGCCAAAACTCGGCAAAATCCGTGCAACCGTCTACCAAAGTAGCACCGTAACAAATACATTGCAAGCATCTTTGTATATATTTTTTGTAATTTTATTCAAATGATGGTATATTTTATACAGTTTTATATTCAAAAAAGAAATGCAGAAATAAATAACAGAGTTTTAAAATTATTTTCTAATTGAATTTTAATGCTTAATTTTATGAAGCAGTAGGTATTATTTTTTATTTAAGGAAAAGAGAAAAATGTTTTATGAACTTTTGTATTTTTTTAATTAAAAATATGTTAAATGGTAAACTTTTGTTTTTGGTGTTATTCTGTAATATATCTTTTGTGATTATGTTATTTTATTTTTCTGGATAATCTGTGAATAATTTGAAGTTACACTGATAGATAGTAAGAAGTGAGAACTTTAAAAAATGTTAAAATTGAGAACACCTGATCATGCCACTTATTATTGAATAACTAAGTAGAAATTTAATATTTAATTAATTAACTAAGTAACAGTTTAAATGTTTATGACTAAGTAGCGATTAAATTTAAATGACTAAGTAACAATTTAAATGATAAAGTAACAAATTAAAATTAAAATGACTAAGTAACAATTTAAATGTTTATGTGGTATAATACTGTATGATATAGATTGAATTTCACTTGAATTCTGAGAAAATAAGATAAAGTTCTTTTTTTAATGATAATTAAAAGCATTAAGCATAGAAGATAAAATAACTGAATTACTCAATTACCCAATTTGGGAAGAAACCCTTTTTATTTACTTCTGAAATTGAAGATTTCATTTTAAAATACCATACAGTAACCTTCCTTTCATACAATATTATTCATTTACTTTGTTTAACTATTGTACCATTAAATGTCTTTTACACTAGATAAACTAATAAAAAAATAGTAGTATTGAAAATATGCATTTTATTCTAAATAAAACCACTTAATAATTTAAATATATGTGAAATGAAGAAATCTTTGGTTTCTGTAACATAATTCATACTAAAAACAGGCTAATGCTTTGGTGATAGAAGACTTTTGCTATGTTGCCGGTCCCATAGTTCTGCAGTGTTTTGTATTTCTTGCAGATATTGGCCTACAGCATTTAATCCTTCCATGCTTAATTTTATAACAGCAGGATATACATATTCAATAAAATTATTCTTAAATGTTAACACTGTTATGATCAATGCTATATCAGAATTTTATTGATTTTACAGATACAAATACAGTCAAAAGTCGTTAATTCGGACACCCATAATCCGGAATGATCTATAATCCGGACCTCAAAGCTAAAAACTTTCTGCGCATGTGCTGCTTTGGCACATGCGCACTGGCATTTTACGCGTGCGCGTAAGACCTTGACTACTGCGCATATGCGTGTGCGCAAGTGCAGAATACGTTTTCGCCTGCGCATTTAATATATAACGGACGGTGTAAGCTAAAATTATCTAATTATCTATTTCAGTTAATGTTAATGATTGCATTGTTACTTAATCTTCGAATTGGATCCCGCTTATTATTTTTTGCAGACTGTAAGAGCAATTTTATAAAAGTAAACTTGAACTTTCGATTATGTCAAATAGAATTTCCGATACTGGAGCTCCCAAAGGATCTACAAAACGAAAGTATGTTCCGATGCCCATCAACAAAAGTGGAATTGCTGCAAAAAATGGATAAGGACATGAAGAATGTGACAGAGAGGTTAGTGAAAACGAAAATATTCGATTGACAAGTTAGTCGGTATTCTCGGCACAGCAATTAACGGGACTTGAACAGCGGACTAGTAACTGAACAAGAAATTATGTCTGTTTATAGAATTAAAGAGAAAGTATTATCACATAAAATGAAGCAACTAAACAACTTACATTAAAAGAAATGTTTAATAAAGTAAACAAATAAATATTAAGCTCTTTTTTTTTTTTTTTTTTTTGTAAATTTTGATACCCTTTAGATCATAATTGTTCTTTATTTCATAAATTACGGTTTCATATTTTTAATTTTAGAATTTCTGCATGCCATCTTACGAGATTTAAACTGATCTATAATCCGGAATCGCTGAAGTCCCGACGAGTCCGGATTAATGACTTTTGACTGTATATATTAAGTTTTCGTTGCTAAAAATGACAGATGTATGTAAAAATTTTAAATAGCATAAACTTTGTTATTTGAAGTGAGAATTTTCATGTTTTTATATATACTTATCTGTTTACTATTTACAGAGCTCGTTATCCTCCATATTCTCCAAGTAATGAAAAATATCTGAGGAAGCTGCTCAAGAAACGACCAAATTTAGCACCTCCACATTTGGATTACATTTTCATATTTATAATAGGATTTGCAACTGCCATTTTATTGAAAGTAATACTTCATGTAAGTATTAACATTATTAAAGAGCATATTTTTGCCTCATTCACATTTATCAGAAATTCGTTTACTTTGCTTTTTATATAAAATACTAATATTTATGTTGGATAAAAATTCATTCAATGAAAAAATTTCTCTGATTCGGGTTGAGAGGGAAAAAAAAAATCTGCACCAGATCAGTGCTGCTGTTTAAAAATATTTTGCTTTTGTTACAAATTTATATAAGTTCTGCATTCCTATTAGGCTATATGGGTATTTTAGTAGTTTTCTTCTTGTGTAATTTGAATATTAGCCAGTTTTTAGAAAATATACTTTACAAAATCATCCCCATCCTTAATCAAATAGCCATTGTATGCTTTGCTATGATCAAATAATTATAATCATTTACAATGAATATTAATATGACAGTATTTAAAGAACCATGATGCACAGCACTTTTCCTGTACAATGCAGCCATAATATACAGTTGTAAGTGCCTGCGTTCAGCTATTGTTAAGTTAACATGCTACCATCCAACCGTAACTGAATCAACAGTCAGTCGCTAACATTTTCCCCTTGAACATGATAGGGAAGATAAGCCGCCCAACCGGTATATTGGTTAACGTCACTGGTTGCCGTGCCAAAGGGCACGGGTTCGAATCCTGGAGAAGGCATGGATATTTGTAAATGTATAGTGCCTGTGCGGCATGGGGTCATTCTAAATATGCGGCGAGCTGGACGTCCTCTCGAGAGGTTGGTGGTAGGGGAAGAGGGTAAGAGACCCTTGGGCCTGTTCCCCCCCCCAGGGTGCTCTCCACCAAAACTGCAGACAGAACTGAGGTAAATCTCACTGTAAGGTGCTCAAGGCTGTTGCCAATGACAGACGTATTTTTCGCTTCTTGCCACAAGGAATTCTGTGGGCTTGGGCTGGCTATGGGTCAGACAAATAAGGATTAGTCAATAACAACAGGGATGGGAAGTATCAGATACTGCACCATATAAAAATGTTATGGCTTAGAAATTAATCAGAAGCAGGAAAAAGGGGAAAACAAAATTCAGACATTGTTAAACTATAGTAACTGTTTAGTTATATTTTTCTTATTAGTGAAGACTTCTTATGGCTTCAACTTATCTTAGATTTTCAGTTAATTTAATAAATCATAATGTAATTATTTAGTATAGACATCTTATTTTTGAAATAATTAGTAGTATTTTTCAAACTTTATATATTTAAACTTATAACTGAAGTAAATGTACATTGTTTCTCTACTATAAGTAAAAGGGAAATAATATAATATTTTTTTTTTTTTTTTTTTTTCAGTTTGCTGGAGTCAAATATTTCTAAAACAGAAGTTTTGTATTAATGATATATATATCCTGTAAAGTCCAGTCAGCTGGAGATGTATTATAATGGCATATATTATGTAATGATTACAGCTTTCATATAGAATAAATAATAAGAATGAGATAGTGAATTTGCATGAATAAAGTGTTGAAGTCTGTGATATAATTGACATTAATAATTCAGATACTTTCATACAATACTTATGTATGTATTCTTAATACTATTTTAATGATGCAAACCATAAGGGCAGAGAATTTTATGTAGTAATTGTAATTAATTTGCCACTGAATGAAAGGCACTCATTTTTTAATTAAAAATATAAATACAGAAAAAGAATTTCTAGGAGTATATCAATTACCATTTTTTCTTATAAAATTACAGTAATTTTAAAAACATCTTAAGTATGATTTGTGTCATATAATGTTTGTTTTCCATTTGTACATATTGTTGTAAAAAAGTTGTTTATACTAATATTTTTATATTCTAATTTTGTTTCCATATTTGTTTTGCATTATTTTTAAGCTTATAAGTCTTATTATGTTCGATTATTGTCAATAAAATTTGTTATTTAATGTAAGATATCTTTCTTGGAAATTTGAATTTATTTAAGTCACACTTGATATTTGTTTATGAATAAATATATAAGATTTATGAAATATTTTAAACCGACAATTTATACAGTTCACTCCTTTAAAACAGGAGGGCCTTTTTGCATAAAAACCATGCACAAGACTAGCTTATGAGATTTTAGCATGAGAATTAACAAATGTATTACTTTCTTGTACAATCAGTTGAATTCTGTTTAATTATTATATTGTGTACAGTGGCCATATTCAGCACAAAATGCTAAACTGTCTTCTCTGTTTTGCATTTATAATGCTTTAATATTCTTTAATATAGCTGTGCTGAATTATATATAGTACTTGCTGTATCAGAATAGTAATGAGAATAACAAATACCCAAAATTAAGATCACATAAAGGTATATATAATGTTATCCATTTTGTGTAGAATGTAACCATGGTGCATTTTTCAGTTTAACTGGACTGGATAATATTCAGGTACTCCTTACTTTATGACAGAGTTCCATTCCAACATTGCACCATTAAGTGAATTGGTCAGTAAGCCAAGAGCATTAGAAAATTATAAAAAATTTTGCAACAAACTTGAAATTTGTTCATAAAAAAATGCTTATGTAAAGGAGATGACAACAATGAAATAAGTTAAGGGGCAGAGGTCCTGGGCCTAACAGTCAAAAAAAAACTTATAAGTGTGGTTTTCTTCGTAATCTCTTTCTTCATAAATTTCTCTATAACACTTTAAAAATTCACTCATCTCATATTTCAACCTTATTAAAACTTTCAGTATGTGGATCCATAGCCTCAAGTTTGAATTATCACTTTGTTCAAGATTGTCAAATGATTTCATATTGTTCACAAAATTTCTTATACATTTTTTCCATATGCCTTGCATGCACTTATCTATCACTTCATCCCAGCCAGTTTAATGTTTTTAATGCAACCTAAAATGCTGTACAATTTCTAAAAATCACAAAAGATAACTATATCATTTTATGTTACTGCTACACTTTGCGGAAAAGTTGTGTGTAAATAAAACACTTTGAAAATAAAGTGCCATGGTCCATTGGTTGTAGGACAGCAGTTGTGTTTTTAGGAAAATGCATTACCTTTATACAGTGGATGGACAAAAGTATGGAAACACCTTGTGAAATGCATGTTTGAAAAGAAAGACTGATTTTAATGAAATATGTAGGTGGCGCTGGCGTTTTTGACTACTGACGCCACCTATGCAACTTCGTAAATGTGCTAAACAGTTCAGTTGTTGTCGGAGTACTGTTATGTGACGTTGTCATTGCATTATATCAGAGTTAACAGACTTCGAACGTGGGCAAATTGTTGGAGCGCGTATGGTAGGTGCTTCCGTAAGCAACGTAGCCAAGGTGTTTAGTGTTTCAAGAGGTACTGTATCGAAGATTTATTCCGCATATTTGAAAAAGCGGAAAAAAAAACATCATCTGCTAAATCACAGCGCGGACGAAAGTGTGTGTCCCGAGTGATCGTGACAGACGACGATCATTAAGGGCAATTGTGACGAAAAATAAGAAGACCACAGCTGCAAAAGTTACTGCTGAAATGAATGTTTGTGTTACGAACCCTGTGAGTACCAAAACAATTAGAAGGGAGCTTCATAAACAGGGAATTCCTGGCCGTGCTGCAATGGAGAAGCCACTCATCAGTGATGCTAATGCCCGTAACAGGAAAAGGTGGTGTTTAAGTCATAAAGCCTGGACTTATAGAGCAGTGGAAGCAAGTAATATGGTCTGACGAGTCTTCTTTCACATTGTTTCCCACTTCTGGCCGAGTTTACGTCTGGAGAACGCCATCTCAAGCCTATCATACAGACTGCTTGTTGCCAAGAGTGAAACATGGCAGGGGTTCTGTTATGGTTTGGGCAGCCATATCGTGGTTCTCTGCTATCCCCATGATAACTGTGTCAGGGCACATGACTGCCAAGACTTATGTGAACATTTTGGCCGATCAAGTTCATCCCATGGTACAAACTTTGTTCCCCGATGGTGATGGTGTCTTCCAAGACGACAAAGCCCCTGTTCACACAGCTCACATTGTCCAGGATTGGTTTTCTGAGCACGAGGATGAGTTGTTCTATCTCGCCTGGCCACCACAGTCACAGACCTGAATACTATCGAACCTTTGTGGTCTACATTGGAACGGAAAGTGCGTTCTCGTTATCCACCGCCAACATCGTTATCTGAACTTGCCACCGTTTTGCAGGAAGAATGGTATAATATTCCCTTGGCAAACATACAGGAACTGTATTTATCCATTCCGAGAAGACTGCAAGCTGTTTTGGATGCCAACGGGTTTCCTACACCATATTAAGCAAAGAAAGATGTTTTTTTAAAGGTGTTTCCATATTTTTGTCCAACCCCTGTATCTCGTGGTGGCCTGGAACATTATCAAACAATAATATTGGGCTGAGAGTATGAAGAAGTTCAAAAACCAATCTTCAAATAATATTTGCATCATCTATGTTTTTTATTTGGACAATAATAAATGGGGAGACTCTTTTTACTAACTTTACTTAATGCACATAGTTTTTCAGAGCGATAGATCTGGAAAACCTTTAGCGTGAATTTAGCAGCATTCCCTCCCAACAGCAACATCATATTGTCTTAAAAAGCTTTGAAACCAACATTGCCTTAGCTTCTTTCTGCATACAGAATCTTTCAGGCATTTTTTCAATTCCAAAGCCCAGTATCATCCCACTCTGAAGATCTATTATTCAACATCCGCATTTGCCACCGCTGATTCTTGAGCTTTGTTGGTTGAATCTCTGACTAAACCATTGCAACTATTCATATCTGGTTGTAAATGATTCTGTTGATTTTTTGCCTTCAAATTCTCAAAGATATTGTGTGTCTTAATCTGAACTATTAAAAGTCTTATATCGCCATATTATTTTGCATCTTGTTTTTAATCCAGATCTCAAGTAATTTCTCCATCTCATGAGTAAGACCTTTTTACTGCCTAGTTATTGTGGCTTTAAATCCTGATGATGATTTCAACACATCTTTCATTCTAACTTTATTGTTTAAAATCTTTGAAATTGTCAAATGTGCCAACTTAGGTCACAAGCTATTTCTTTGTCTATTTTGCTATCTTTTCTTAACTATCAAATTGGTGGCCTATGTAACAGGAAAAACACAAATCAAAATAAACATAAAAGTATAATAGCATAACAAATAATTGAAAATTCTTTGGTCATTTTCAAAGGCCAGCCAAAAAATGTTCAAAGAGCCATAGTTTCAGAATTATATCAAGATGACTATAAAAACAAATTAATAAATTCAGAGGTGGAAAAATAAATATAATGTAATTTAAATTAAAATGTGAGGGAAATAACCATCAAGATATAATCTGCTCCAATGTGACCCTAAAGAAGTACTACTATATAAAAATTAATCAGTACAAAATTATAATTCTTGAAAATTATGCCATTCAACAAACTGAAAATTTTCTGCATCGAATTGCTGCTTGGAGTTACAGTGAATCTTTTCATACAGACTACCTCTAAAAGCAACTAGTATTTCTAAGCATGTAAGTATTCGTATGGAACATCATCTCTCTAAAATAACCACATCCACAGAAGACTAGAATTATCAAACTGTGGATGATTATATTAGGTTTGCTGTGTAATAATTATTCTATCAAAATAATTATAGTTAAACATTATTCTTGTAATAAAACAAGGATAAAGGAGCAAGTTTAACTATAGCTTCTAACAAAACAAGGATAAAGAGTAAGTTTAACTATAGCTTGTTAATTGGGAGGGAATTATAAATGTTTATGAAGTGTAAAATCCATTATGAGTGAAAAGCATTTATTGTCAAACAACTGTGTAAAATATTTACTCTCTGTTACTATACTGTGGTTTACTTTTTTTCGAAAGGACGTCAAGTCTACATTTTCCATTCTATTCCTCCTTAAAATTCAGAGGTGAACTGTATATACAGCATAAAGTCCGATATCTGGACTGATGAGTCCAGATATCGGACTTTATGCTGTATATACAGTTGAAAGTTGTTAATTCGGACACCCATAATCCGGACCTCAAAGCTACAAACTTTCTCAGCATGCGTCAGCGATGCATGCGCATAAGACCTTTATGGCTGCGAATATACGTGTGTGCATGCGCATAATACGTTTACGCATGCGCATTTAATGTATAACGGATGGTATAAGCTAAGCTAAAATTATCTAATTCAGTTAATGTTGCAGATTGCGTTGTTCCTTAATCTTCGAATTGGATCCGGCTTATTATTATTTGGCTGGCAAGTCATGACCTGCCACTCCCTCAGCAATCCATGACCATACATTCTCATTCGGTGAGAGATCTAGAGAATGTGCTGGCCAGGATAGCTTGCAGTCATGCATTATCTTGTTGAAAGATGGGGTCATGCAGGCCTCAAAGATGGAGCCATCAGAAATGAAATTGCATCTCTCTACATTAATGAATATATGAACAAAAGAAGACTGGGATGTATACCTAATGGCATCTATACCAGCATACCATTTTGGAGGATTACTGTAGGTTTCATTTAAACTCAGAAATTAAAACATTAGTGACAAATTTTACATTTATTACGATAAAACATTATATCTGCCACTGACATTTAAATAGCATTTTAACAATCAAAGTATATCAAGGGTTCAGGGATGGGAACTCTGCACTTGAAGATGTGCATTTTAAAATATTCATAACATATAACAGATAATAAACATTGATAAATAAAATATACACATATAATCACTGTAACAAGTACCTACATTTAATAATGCTTTTACATTTAAATAACTGCTTTTGTTCATATTAGCTACGTATATAACAAATAACACATCTAAGTAATTTATAAAATGCAGATGACAAAAGCCTACAATTATAATGAAAGTTTTATAATTTTTTTTTAAAACAAATGTTACAAACAGAACACATTTAAAATGTTTTTCACAGCTGAAAGATAGTATAAATTTTCACATA